CTGTCCTGTCCTGTCCTGTCCTGTCCTGTCCTGGAGATGGGATTTAAACGGGCCCGTGCACTGTATTAATTCAACATTCCCAGCAAATGCTTTGCCATCTCTTCCAGCTACAAAACCTGGGCCCGAGCACAGTCAATGCCAGAGTGGAGGTGGAGTTCCCCACTCATTACCAGGGCGAGCTCCTGCTCTACGTCTTTGCCAACGCCTCCGAGGAGCACCTGACGTGCTTCTCCGCCTCTCCCGAGATCGACACTCTGAAAGTAAGAACCTGCGCTGCCCCACACCCCGTTTAAAACTCAAACCTTTTTACCATATCACTGTGTCATCTGTGCCGCTGGAAGTCTAATTGCGGGACGTTCGCTTGTGTAAATGATTGTACTGGTGATTGTGATGCGCTGTGTTTGGACAGGAGAGAGATATTGTGTGCAGCTGTAGGGCTCCCTCGTGCTTTTGCCCTGTGTGTAGCGCTGGTCTTGTCCACTGCTGCGCTTTGTGGGTCTGATGCAGATGGTGTGGGCAGCGATGCCAAATAGGTGGGCAGGTGAGATAAAGACGGTGGCCGTGTGTTCTCGCTCACTGTGGTGGGATCTGGCTGCCGGAGAGGGAGGGACCTCAGTGGTACTGCTTGGGGAGGCTTGGATCCACAGTGCCAGCTCATCTAAAACCGGGCCCATTTATGAGACTTCTCTCTGCCTTACCGCAGTGGAAAACGACATTCCTTTCCCCTCTGGAAGCTGTCCACTCAGGCCTTTACTGAATGATATACTCATGCACAAACGTGCCTTTTAGGCCAAAGTATTCATCCGTGAATCATTTTAAAGTGCATGGAGGAGAAGTGTAGAAATAATTCATAAATGTGGAATTTAGGGTATTTCTTAAGATTGCTGGAAAAAGGGATTGTGTTTAATACGTATTTTAATATAGTACTTTTGTCTCGTGTGTCGTTGTGCTGTAGCTGGTGAAGCCCTCTCCTCTGAATAAAACCCTGGCTGATCACCCTCATCGCATCAACAAGCGACAGGCTGAGGTTCCTGGGCCTCAGCGCAAGGACCCTGTTCATGTGGTACTCCACCGCCCAGTTCAAGAGCTCTGCTGGAGCTGGACATCACTGGCCAGTCACTTACTTGCTACTTACTGGCTGGCCAGTCACTTACTCACTACTTACTGACTGGCCAGTCCACTTACTCACTACCTGGTCATTGGCCTGCTTGCTTGCAATCACTGAGTCACTACTTCAGACTCAAAGGGCGTTATTGACATGACTGATAACAAATAAGTGTTGTCAAAGCAGATACAATTAACACAGCATTTTCAGACATTTACAGTTCAAACGATGTTATTGGACAGTTACATCATCACATCAAACATTGCTGTCATTCTTCAGATGGGCCACAAGAGGGAGACAGCCTCCTCTAAAATTAAGGCCTACTATTTACATTGCTGTCAGGCCTTGAACAGTATAGAAGAGTGGTTCTCCATTGAGTGCTTGTTGTTTTTTGTCCCAGCTGGGCCCTTAATCGCCAGTGCTGACTGGTAGCCTGTAGCAGATTTACTTGCTGGTTTATACTTTTGTCTGCACTCAGTCCTTGGTATCCAAAATACCCTGAATTGCCTAACTGCTAACAGCTTCTGCACATATGTAGAACTTTATGGCAGTTTCTCCTCTACTTGCTAATTAAAACTTTGCTCCCTTATCTCTGACTGAGCAGCTCTTAATAGGTGATCAATTGATGATGAACGGTTTCAGGTGATTAGGCCATCACTGGATCAGACGGCTCCAAGCCCCATTCATTGAATTCCAGCTGCATGAATTCAGTCGTGCAACTTTCTAATTAGCACAGCGTTTGTACCAGTTACAAATCTCATTCCGCGTTTTGAGAGGTGCAAGCACATTTTGAAAACCGACCCCAAACAGAAAAGCGACATTAATCAGCCTGCGAGTAAGACCTTGGAGCAAAAACTGGAATAAACTGGGGTCACCCTGGTCCAGGACTGAGACTCACTGAGACAGAGGGGGGTAGGATGACTGTCTTCTCTCGCCCCTTGACAGAACTGCTCAACCGCTGTGTGCCTGACCTTCTCCTGTGAGGCCGTGGGGCTGGAGAGAGGCAGGAGTGCTGTGGTCAAGATCATGTCCAGACTCTGGGTCCAGAGCTTTCTGAAGGTGAGGAGGGGGCCTGCTGGCTGAACAGAACAGCTTGGTCTTTAGAAATGTTTCCAATTAAACGTTTTCTTTTATCCTAAAGGCCAGCTGCATCCATCGACATTCATTAGTGGATTTGTCATGAATTGCAAGCACTTTATGGTGAATGCTGTAATTCTAATTGAGTTTTTTTTCTTCGAAAATATTGTGCAATGTTTGTGCCAGGTCTTTTTAGCAATTTACAGTATATCCAGTACTCTCTCCAACCTCCCTCCCCTTATCAAGCACGTTCTTTGGTTAACTGCACGTATGATGATACTTCATGTTACAGTAACTATAGCATCATGCTTTCCTCTGTAGAGACCCTATGAGGACTTCTTCCTGCAGTCCGTAGCCACTTACACTGTGTACAGCATGCCATATAAGGTCAAGCCGGAGGTGCTTCCCAGTGGATCTGCTGAGGTGAGACGAAAGGAACCCGTGTGGAAAATGAGATTTTATATCATGCTTTAAAAAAAATGTACTGAAGTGTCTTAACATGCATGGCATAGAATCTGTTATGCTGTCATGTCTGTGATGCAATCAGAACAAGAACTAGTAAAGTAAGTTATGTCTGGACAAGGTGTGGGATACAGTAAGCCTCTTGAACACAATGTTCTCTTGAATAGGAAAGGGGGAAATTCTGTTTCCCTTTCCTCTGTATCCCAGACTTGCTTGAAAACCCTGGAAAGACAACAGCTCCTGTGTAAGAGTGTAAAAAGAAGCACAAAAGCCAATCGACTGGTAGTCGCAGAACAGCTACAGTACAGCAGGTGTACCAAGAGGAATCACATAAGGACAGATTTAGCACACTAGGAAAGACCAGCCCACTATGGGTTTTTTCTTGAGAAAAAATGAGTGGGGGTAAATTAAATACATTATTGTGTATATTAAGATTTAATAATTTAACTGAGCATTCAGGTGGAATTAAAACAAGCAAGTATATGGGTTTGCAAGACCAGGATTATTAACCTCAGCAAGGGCTGCAGACTGGAGGAGGCTATCTGCACCTCCTTGCAGATTTTGGGAGCTGGTTGCTAATTCTTCCCCAGATTTGGATCAGCTGACAGATGGACTGCTCTTATATTGTTCCTTTTGCATCTTAACGGGATGTGATTGTTGATAACTTTGGATACATGTATAGAAGTGGAGGTGATGGTAGGGTGCTGAAGACCCAAATCAGGGAGGTTTGCATATAAATGAGCGTCAGTCAAGTGCTGGTGTTGGGCTGGTGTTATTCCAGACGCAGACAGCGGTGGAGTGGCGAGCTTTGGAGGGGGAGAAGGAGGTGCCAGTCTGGTGGATCGTCGTGGCCATCGTCGCTGGGCTCTTCCTGCTGGCTCTCTTCAGTTTCATCTTCTGGAAGGTACTTAAAGTCGGTCCGTTGGGGGAGCTTTTGGAAAGCTGTAGGGAGTGCGTGTTTGATCCAAGAACAAGACAGTGTGCATGGGTTCTGTTGTTCCTGTAGAAACATGCAGGCAGTCAGAAAGCAGTGCTATGCTGTTCTAGGGACCATGAGTAAATAAAAAAAATAAAAAAATTATACAGCATAACCAGTCATAAAATGTCATGCCCTTTAAAATGATTAACACAGGCTTTGACTGAAATCTGTGCTCCTTGAACCCAGGGGGAATATACCGGTGGCCATCATTTTCTACCAAGGCCAACTGGGAAATGTAGTTCATGTCAGCCCTGATGGACTCAATCAAGTGTGTGTTTTATTTGCAAGGTTCCAGAACCCAGAGACCTAGGGCCCATAATAGATTCCCTCTATTAACTAGTCCCATACCATGTCACAGTATATTTAGGGGAATGTTGAACTTAAATATTTATTAGATATGACCTCATTCATTAGTCACCATCTTTGGCCCAGCAGTTCAGGAATCAGCTCAGACGTGCATCTGTACAGTATAATAACTGTGGGGACAGCAGTGACTCGCAGACTGATATTAAACACGTATTCAGTTAGTTACTGCAGCTGCAAGCTGTTCACTGTGCCTCGGATATCTTGATGGTGTCTGCCTGTTTTCCAGAGCAGGAACAGAACTGATACTGCTTTGTTTTCAGCTTGGCTTTTTCAAACGGAACCGGCCCCCGAAGGAAGACACACAGGAGCTCAAACCTGAGCAGTCGGAGTACGCAGAGATGCCTCAGTCTGGACATTAACAGAGTGCCGAGCTTCCCGACACTGAGTTCATACCTCAGAAGAACCAGTTAGAAGGCAGGTGAGGAGCAGGAGCACACTAATGGGATTTGATGGAGCATTGACTTGCTCAGATTTATAGTATCCAGCCAAAACACAGACCGACAGCACTCTGAACAGTTACTATAGAATATATTAACTTGCATACAGAGCAATAAAAAGCCAAATTTCATCACTCATGGGCTCTAATCATGTTTCTTCATTTTTTTCCTTTCCTTTGTGTCAAAAGTTAAAAGGTACACTTCTGTAACACTTCTGTTCTGATGCTTTCCTATAATACTATCACAGTGTTTAAACTCTGTATGTTCACTGACGTCTTCATATATTACAGTTCATTCCGGTTTGCAAATAAATATTGCTTCACATTGCTTTCAGTATGTTTTGATGCAGAGAATATATAACCTTTTATGCTCTTTCATTGTTACCTTCTTGATAATGTTATCTTTAAAAATATATTTTACTTTTTTAGGTTTTCAAACATTTTAGATTTTTGTTTAAATTGTGAAGTAATTTGACATATGGAAGTTTATCCAGTGGGCTTTTGGGGTGAAGAGTTAAGTTTTCAGGTCTAACCTGTCACCTTCATAATGCTATGAATTGAATTTGCTGTTGAACACGTTGCCTGTTAAATTCTCACCTTGTGACTTTGTAGATTAGTTCAGCATTTAATTGCACTGTGATGATAGCTTTGCATTACCAAAAGCTGTCTCCTGGTTTGTCTATTAAAGAGTACTCCTGAGTATTCAGCAGCATCAATAAGGAGTCTAAAGGTTTTGCTAGATCTACTCCAGTAGCTGTGATCAGTGCACTTCTCTGTAACGTTCAAGTCTGAATAGCCCTGATTCTTATTATTCTGTATGATGTACTGTATAAATTAAATGTATTATTATTATAATTCATGTGAACTCACAATGTGTGTTAAAGTTCATTATTCATGAACTCAAAGGTTAACATATAAAAATGTCTGGAATGGGAGAAATTCAAGTCACCTACAGCTTTGTTTTAAATGGTTTGAAACAAAGAACAGGAAATCCTATTGCAATTTCTTTTTTCTTTTGCTTAGAGAGCCCCTTGCTAGATTGTACAAAAGACAAACTTGGAAATTGTTTCCTTCAGGCAACAATTCAAGTGCACAAGGAGACGACTTACAGAACTGGCAGTGGGTTTTTTTTAGTCTTCACTTCCTTGGAAAGACCAATTTTTTTTTCCCCCAGACACAGCTGTGACCTGTTCACCAGTTTTAGTAGCGTCGTGGGCAGTTTGCAGCAGTACCTTAACCTGACTAAAACTGAGGCGGGTCTTCCAGATTCACTCACGTCCCCCACGCTAGAAGTGGCTGCTTAAGGAATGAATGCTGATATAAAACCTGGAGCTCCTTTGTAGCCAGGATTTGAGTTGCTATGGAAGTGGCAAACTGTTGAAAAGAAGAATTCAGGGGGGGTGGGGGAGTTTTCTTAGGGAATTCAGCAGTGCCTTGGCTCTGTTCCATGGCGAAGATAATGTCATTCCAACAGCTGTCCATTGTCATCTAACAGTACAGTAAGCAAGTAGGGTTCCCCTGCTTTCAGAGCACAGACACCCTGGGTCACTGCATGCAGGCCATGTTGAACACACTCTCCCACCTTCCTGACCAGCAGAGGACAGGGGCTGTTTGTTCCTCAGACAAAACGCAGGTCTGCTGAGCTAGAGGCAGCATCCAGCCCTGAGAGCAGCGAAAAGGAAAAGGATTAAAAAAAAAGTTCTCCTGGATAGATCTTTTGAAAGGCTTATCTTTCAGACCAGAAGAGCAAAATAAAGCCGTTCGGAGGGTTTTGTCTTGGTTTGCTGAGGTTTTTTCCTAGAATTGGCTTTGAAAGTTTTGTTTTGAAGTTTGATCAGAGGAAAAAGTGTTGAGATGGAAATGCAGCTTCTTTAACGTGAACACCTAGTTTATGAAAACCTAACATTATCAAGGTTGGACCAGGTAGAATTATTTCAAGAAATAAGAATGCACAACTCTGTTTAAGCCATTATATACTACAGTTCTGGAGTTAAAACTCTGAGTGGCTGCCTCTATCTGACACCAGTTAATTCAGAAATATTTGTGAAGTGTAGCAAACATTGTTCGTTACATTTCTGTATTTAA